CTCGGGGAAGTTGGTGCTGATGGACTCCCGCCCCAGCCAGCCCCGCGTGTTGGCGTTAGGCGCCCGTTACTGCTCTTCCGTGTGAGCCGTGAAGCCCTTTGTTAAAACAGCTGCGGATTTTAAGGTTTCTCATCTGTGAGCCCCACAGTGGGTACCTCCTTTACTCACTGCGACCCTCCCGTTCCAGTCAACCCGCTCACGGGCTTGAGCGCTTTCACACCAATACCCCCATCTGGCAGTGGGAGGAATGCCTTTTGCCTTCTCTTTTCTGCCCATGTTTAGCCTTTACTTAGTTACTTGGAATCGACTGTCCGTGAAGTAGGACGGACTTTGGTACCTACTGTGTGCACGGGCTGAATGAGTCCTCGCCTGTCCCCACCACCGCCTCGCACCTCCTGGTGCTGCTGTCACAGGCGGCTTCCCGCTGCGCAGCGGCCTCCCTGCGCTCCCCCCTAACGAATGTGGACTCACCATCTGATTCTCTTTTTGGTGCTCTAGGTCAGGATGGCTAACTGGTTGGCTCCCCACATGGTGCCCGACATCTACATCACACCTTAAAGAAGCCGAAGAGAGAATTTTAAAATGTAAGGTTTTCCTGTAAGTTAACCGAGCTATTTACTGAACAGGTCCCAGACAGCGCCTTGCCCTGGAGCTGGGGCTGGAGTCTACGGTGTGCTGGTTGTTGGCTAAAGAACTGTCCCCCTTCCATGTCATCTGCCGGCACCGAAATACCGGGGGCGGGGATAGCAGGGGTTCTCAGACTTTTTGGTCATGGGTCCCTGTTGTGCTCTTAAATTCCTACATACCCAGAAGAGCTATGTTTATGAGTTACAGTTCTCAATTAAAACAGAATCATTGAAGATGTGATAATTTATTTTAAAATAATAGTAATACACTTACTACAGGTTAAAATGTATAATATGATTATTAAAAAAAAAACACTTTTCAAGTGAAAACATGATGCGATAAGTTCATGGTCTACCAGTTTGCAACTTTCTTCACTGGACAGCAAAATCCGAGGCAGCTGGATTCTCCGTCTGCTCCCGCATTCGGTCTGATGGGTAATCAGCTTCCATGTGGCCTCTGGAAAATTCCACCCAGCAGAGAATGAGAGTGAAGAAGGCAAAGTCTTAGTATTACTGTGAAAATACTTCCGAGCCCCTGCATCGCCAAAGCCCCCTGGTGTCCCAGACTGCACTTTGAGAGCCGACGAGGTATCCCAGAGCAGCCGCGTTGTACAGTGGGACTGAACTAGACTGGAACCAGGTGGCCCACATCTGCCACGAGGTAGTTACAGGATCTTGGGCTTGTTACTACACAGCTTCCTCCCTGCAAAGTGAGGGCAGGACGAGCCTTAGCATTCCTTCCGGTTCTACGATTTTTTAATTCTACGTTTACAGTGGAATGGACACTCTTTGTATTTCTTCTGAAATTTATCCAAGCGTGCGCCCGCCAGGAAATTTCCTGCTACCTGCGGGTGCAGTTCCGGGCAGCGGTGTTTACTGGACAGTTTTGCTCTGATACAATCTAAGGAGTGGGTCAGGTGGTGAGGTGTGAGTGAGCGCCTGTCTGCGCTTCTTTGCTGTCCTCTGTACCAGTCATGCATTTTCTCGTTTGCATTTGAATGATCCAGGACTAGGTGACCATAGTGGATATACTCTTTCAAAGGGATAATTAACCATTTTGCATGGATTTTAACATGAAGATGGATTTCTATTCACTTCATATGTTTGGATAACCTAGCTCTCCACAAAACTGGGAAAGTTGTCATTGTGATTTACCAAAATAATAACAGTGTGTTAGGTTAAAAGGTGCTTTATGCTCTGTCTTTGCGTTAACAGCTGTGCTGGTTACCTCTCTATGCAGGGTTCTAGGGGTACGAGTGGGACGGAGTCTGGTCTCGGCTCCAGCATGGGAGCGGGTCTCTTACCAACACTGTGGGTGGCTTTCTCATGTGGGAGTGCACAGACATCCGGCTCAGCCTGGTGCTTGTGCCAGACCACCTCCTTTCCTAAACCAGTGGCATCCGCACTGGGGGCATGAGCTCTGTCAATGTTCCGAATGTGCCCGGGGTTTCCTCGTCGCTGCCACGTGTGGCAACAAAACCTGAGGTTAATTCCTTGGTGAAGGACGGACACTACTGTTTCTCAGGCCACAGGTGAACACATGCAGATAATTAAGGGGCACGTAAGTGTAGCTACTCAGTTGCCAGTTTACTGTAAGTGACTTCGGATAGTTTCATCTTTAGGTAGTTGGGGAGGGGCAGTTTTAAGCCTTTAGTCCTATAGCATTGGAGCAAAGAAGAGTGTTGGTCTCAGAAGTGGGGTTATGTACGTTTTCTGGGAGATTGCAGGATTTGTGCTCTGGATCTGGTGCCTCATTCTGAGAAATCCCCACCGTACCCTGTCTCCTTGTTTTTACACACACCACTGAGCTTCCCTAAATTCATTATTGTTTTTCTGGGAAAAACGATTCCTTTGAACCTAACTTCAGTCTTCAATGCTTAATATGTTAAGTGTTCTATACACGCAAGGTGGTATTCTTTTGTTATTGTCTGCAAAGCCAGAGACCTCAAAATCCTGGGTTCGGTAACTGCTAGTTCCCCTGTAGGTCTACAACTGTAATATCATGGGCTCGGTCACTGCTAGTTCCCCTGTAGGTCTACAACTGTAATATCATGGGCTCCGTCACTGCTAGGTTCCCCTGTAGGCCTACAACTGTAATATCATGGGTTCGGTAACTGCTAGTTCCCCTGTAGGTCTACAACTGTAATATCATGGGCTCCATCACTGCTAGTTCCCCTGTAGGCCTACAACTGTAATATCATGGGTTCGGTAACTGCTAGTTCCCCTGTAGGTCTACAACTGTAATATCATGGGCTCCGTCACTGCTAGTTCCCCTGTAGGTCTACAACTGTAATATCATGGGCTCGGTCACTGCTAGTTCCCCTGTAGGTCTACAACTGTAATATCATGGGCTCCGTCACTGCTAGGTTCCCCTGTAGGCCTACAACTGTAATATCATGGGTTCGGTAACTGCTAGTTCCCCTGTAGGTCTACAACTGTAATATCATGGGCTCGGTCACTGCTAGTTCCCCTGTAGGTCTACAACTGTAATATCATGGGCTCCGTCACTGCTAGTTCCCCTGTAGGCCTACAACTGTAATATCATGGGCTCGGTAACTGCTAGTTCCCCTGTAGGCCTACAACTGTAATACCCATGGGCTTGGTCACTGCTAGTTCCCCTGTAGGTCTACAACTGTAATATCATGGGCTCGGTCACTGCTAGGTTCCCCTGTAGGTCTACAAGTGTAATACCCTGGTAGATGGGAAAGTTAGGAGACCCAGTGGTTTGCCCAAGACTTGGCCATGGGTATTTGAGGCTTGTCTGACATCTTCCCACTTAAATGTAAAACAGTTACTTAGGATTACTTGCTTTAGTAAAATACATTCTTTTCTTTTTTATTGCTGACATAATAAAGGCTAAAATCACATGACTGGGTACCAGATGGTTTCTAGATTATGAATTTTGGTGGCTCTGAGACTACTCCCCTTCTCAGAAGCGGCGATACTAAGCAGAATTTCTGTTTTATGTTTTCACTAGGTGTCCCCAGCACATACAAAAAGGAATCTGTTCGTATATCTAATGGAAATAAAATATGGACACTGAAGTTCTCCCATACTATTTCCAATAAGACTCCACTCGTGCTCCTCCATGGATTCGGAGGAGGCCTCGGACTCTGGGCACTGAACTTTGGAGATCTTTGCACCGACAGGCCCGTTTATGCTTTTGACCTACTGGGCTTTGGACGAAGCAGTAGACCCAGGTTCGACAGTGACGCGGAGGAAGTGGAGAATCAGTTTGTGGAATCCATTGAAGAGTGGCGGTGTGCCCTGGGATTGGACAAAGTGATCTTGCTTGGGCACAACCTGGGCGGGTTCCTGGCTGCTGCGTACTCACTGAAGTACCCATCGAGGTAGGTGCTGCTGGCAGGAGAGCGGTTATCGCCATGGCCGGGAGAGCTGGCCTCCAGTCCCTGCGTTTGCGAGCTGCCGTCTGAGCCTTACTTGGTGGTCCTCTCCTACAGGACCCCGTGGACCAGACAGGCTAGCCACTGGCCGGTTTAGAGGCCGACACAGCGCTCGGGTTCTCTCGTGACACAGACTGACTGTGGATAGGCCGAGGGAGGGCTTCTACATTGGGCGGATGGGGTGTGCGATTCTTGTGCCCAAGGAGAAGCGTCATGATTCCCGTTATGATCACTGCCCTGTGTATCTAGGAGGCTGCGCTTTCCTGACCTCTTAACAGTGGCGAGCCATAGTGCAGCGGTGGGCGATCTGAGTGCTGATGCGATCTTTGGGACCTAGAGCAGATCACTTAGCCTCTCAACCTCGGTTTTCTTACCTCTGAAGTGCAGAAAATGTATTTTCAAAGTTTTTCCGGATTTTGGATTGTACAGTCCCGTAATACTTCTGATCATAAAACTACTCTTCAGAATCATTGAATTAATAAGCGCTTGCTTCAAACCCTTTGTGGTGTCATCATCTTTCTTTCCCTTATTTAATTTAAAAGTTTTTTTAGATTTTTGTCATAGGGTGCATGTGCTTGCTGGAGAGACAGAGACAGAGAGACAGAAAGTGAGAAATCACTCCTCAGGGGGGATGGCCACACCACAATCCCTTCTCATCCATTTTCCCCTCAGGATTTTGGGCACGCATGTACACACACCCGGTTTGTGTTTTAAGCTGGAGACTCAAACCGTGGTCGACTAAGTGGGAGTCCAGCGACATAACCATTATGCCATCTGCTGGTCCCACTCCCCCTTATTTTTTAATGTTACTGTGTAGTGATCTTGTTGCTATTCTGAGGAGAGATCATGTTTAAGTGCTAAGAAAATAGAAGGAAAAACTCATCCTTTTTTGGGGAAGAAAAACCAAAAAGTGAACATCAGCACTTGTGTCATATATACAATTTCCGTTGTTGTTAAGTTTTGCTCTAGGGTGTGTGCTCACTGAATAGAGACAACCATATTTTTCTGTGGAGTCATTTTTAAATTCAAATTGCAGCCAACTCTGGCATTCAGGCCGATGACTGCGACGCGGGGTGGTCATTTTTGGAGCGCTAAGAGCTGCCTGTTACATCACCCCAGGTGTGTGTTCTTTTATTTTTAACTTTTTTTTTTTGAAGAGATTTTTGCTATAGGGTGCGTGCGCCCGTCAGAAAGACAGAGAGAGACAGAAAGCGAGAAATCAACCCCCGTGGGGTTTCAGATCATTTATCTGCGTGCTTTCCTCTCCTGTGGTGAGGCCTGTGCTGAGCAGTTTGAACGAGCACCTCTTGAGAAGAAAAGAAAAGCCTTACTCCTTGACCTGGGCTGCAGGTTCTTGGCCTTGCCTAGTCACCCCCAGTGGCCTGCTTCTTGTTGTTTTGTTTTAATTTTGCCAGAGGGGACCTGTGCTTAGCAGTGAGAGACAGACAGGGAGCCAGAGGGAGGAGGGGAAAGCAACACCCAAAGGGGCATGGTCCTGCCGCATGCCATCGCCTTTCCCCACTTCTCCTTCCTGGCAGGATTTCGGACACACACACACACACACACACACACACACACACGGTGTGTTTTTCTTTTTTTTTAAATTTTAAATGTTATATTAATAATACTTTTAAAATTATAATACTTTTACATTATTATTTAATTTGCTACAGGCACCTAAACTGAGTAACAGAGGGAGAAAGCAAGAAAGCAAGCCACTAGGTCTGGGACTCAAACCAGTCGGCCATGTGGGAGTCCAGCGCCTTAACCACCACACCACCTGCTGGCCCGCCTGATGTGTTTTTCAAGTTTTGGGGGCAGGGATTCAAACTGTAACTGGCCCTGTGGGATTCCACTGCTTTAACCACGAGGCTGCGAGGCTGGCCCTAGAGTTCTGATTTTTTCCTTGTTTCTTTCCTCCTTCCGTGTGTGTATTCTGCAGACTTCCACGTACATTTTTGTTCTAGGTCTGATTGTCCTTGCTGCATGATTTCTGACTGGGACATCCTGTACATTTCATGACCAGGTTTATTCCTCCCTGTAAGAGTTTAGACCACGTGAAATGCAGTCCCAGTCCTCAGGGGCAGACCCTGAGGGTTGTAACCCGCTCCACCTTCACACTCCAGGCCAAGCTGACTGCTGTCATCTTTCCTGCTCTGCAGGTTCTTTGTTTTCCTCCTGTGTGGTTTGGATCAATCTCTGATTCTTGGCCCAGATGTCTGAAAGGATGACTCCCACAAGTTGTCTGGCTGGACCCACTCCTTCCCCTGGGTGTGAACTAGCAATCCCACCACGGTATCCTCTATGGAATATTAGAGTAGGGCTTCAATAATTATAGTAGTTTAGATATACCCTGAAATTAAATACCAGCTATCACTTAAGGAGAGGTCTCTCCACTAGACCAGGAGATGAGGAGATAGCCTGGGGACTTGCCCCCTGCGAGTCTAGACCTCTGATAGACTTTGTAGAAGAATCATTACTTGCTGCTCACCTGGTTCTAGCACTGCCTCGCCATATTTCTGCCCTGTGTGCTGTTCTCGTAGTCTTTTTTGCCACCATAACCAGCTTCCATGGTGGATGCTTACGAGTAGTAGACACTGGCCCTAGTGCTTTGCCTGGTCTCTTATTAAATGTCTTACAAGCAAAAATAAGCAACAGTTATTTTCTCAGATCTTTTACATGAAGTAGAAGCAGATGATACATGTCACTGCAGTTTAGACATTGTTGTAGAGTTTAAAAATATTATTTTTTTGCCTTTTTTTTTTTTTTAACCAGAGCTCTCATTAAGAATTTTTTTTGTGTATGTTTGTGTGTGAGGTTTTCCCTATAGGGTGTGTGCTCTCGTCAGAAAGACAGAGGGAGACAGAGAGACAGAAAGCGAGAAATCACCCCCCAGAGGGGATGGCCACACCGCAATCCCTTTTCCTCCATTCTCCTCTTGGGATCTTGGGCACGCATGCACATGCGCCCGGTGTGAGTTTAAGCCCCCGGGTCCAGGACTCAAACCATGGTCGACTACATGGGAGTCCAGTGACATAGCCAATACGCTAACTGCTGGTCCTGTCTCAAGAATTTTAAATGTGTCTGTCTATGTGTCTGGAAGAAAAGTTTTGTGGGACAATGTGCTTTTTTATGATTTTTTTTTTCTATTCCCAACAGTACAGGTTTATTAAAAAGCAAACCAGAGTGGTTCTAAACCTTTTAAATTTATTTTATTACCTAATAATAAACGATAACCTATAAGATCAATGTAAGAAATAGCAGAAACATTTTAATATCATCTGGGGGCCAGAAGAATCCAGGCTAATTCAACTCCTACGCTTTCTCTCTGATTATATTTTATAAAACTTGTGTATCCCTGTAGACGAGGACTGAAAAGAAGTGTGGAAAGATGTAATGACCCATTTAGATGGAGACCAGAAGGGACTGGAAGGGCACAGTAACCAGCTGTTCGCCGAGCGTCTGCCGTGTACACGCCAAGTTCCAAGACCCAGGGCCAAGCAGTACCAGGGCCTTCACTTCCTTTCGAAAACAAAAATGAAGGTCACCTGCCCTAGTATATATACTTTGACAATTGGTTAAACTGATGTTTTTGCCTAGGGAGAACGTGGTGAAGATCATATTAAACAAGGCCAGCCAAAACTAAGGCAGAAGCCACTGCTTACCCAGAGGTGATCGAGACCGCCCTCCCTCAGATTCCCTTTGCCTGCCCCTTCCTAGGTTAGCAGGGCAGGAGGAGCCGAGAGCAGGCTGGGCAAGCGTGCTTAACAAATTGGTGAAAGAATTAGCAGTCTGTCAGAGCAGGGTAGGTTGGGGTGAAGAGCTCGTCTTTCTCTCCAGGAGGTAAGTCGGTAGTGAACACTGGCTGCTCCCTAGCACAGACCTTCGCTGCTTTCAGACAGGTGTCTGTTCATTAGTCCTGCTCGTGCCTCTGGCTCTCCTTGTCCTCCCTGCACCACAGACATAATCGTGGGCTGTAGTAGAGCTTAAGGAAGTGGTCAAGATATGAGGTAGCCCGTGCCATTAGGAAAGAAGACAAAACGCTCATTCCTAACACCTTTCCATATACAGTCAGGAATGTCATATACAAGATAGGCTGGGAAAGCACGCTAAGTACACCGCTGTCCACACGTCCCCGTACGTCGAGTGTGCTACACCGACTGTGCGCGTCCCCGTACGTTGAGTGTGCTACACCGACTGTTCATCTATCCCCGTACGTCGAGTGTGCTACACCGACTGTTCACGCATCCCCGTATGTTGAGTGTGCTACACTGACCGTTCATGCATCCCCGTACATTGAGTGTGCTACACTGACCGTTCACGCATCCCCATACGTTGAGTGTGCTACACCGACTGTTCACGTATCCCCATACATTGAATGTGCTATACCAGCTGTTCATCTACCCCATATGTTGAGTATGCTACACTGGCTGTTCATGCACCCCCGTACGTTCAGTGTACTATACTGACTGTTCGTCTATCCCCGTATGTTAAGTGTACTGGATCCCATATGTTGAGTGTACTATACTGACTGTTCGTCTATCTCCGTATGTTAAGTGTACTGGATCCCGTATGTTGAGTGTGCTATACTGACTGTTCGTCTATCCCCGTATGTTAAGTGTACTGACCATCTGTGCATCCCCTATCCCCGTATGTTAAGTGTACTGACGGTGGATGTATGTTGAGTGTACTATACTGACTGTTCGTCTATCCCCGTATGTTAAGTGTACTGACCATCTGTGCATCCCCGTATGTTAAGTGTACTGACTGTTCATGGATCCCCATATATTGGGTTGTCTGAAAGTCATGAGTATTTTTCTACGTTTTTCTATGCAAAAATGCATCGTGGCTTTTCCAATAACTCAGTAGATTCAAGGCTATAAAACCTCAGGGCTATTACAGTCTAGAATACAGCGTTAAGATTAGCCTGGCATTGAGAAAAGTTCAGCCTTACCTTTATTAATACGAGTATTTTATGCTGCGTGGCTTGTTTTTAGGAGAGAGTCTTCTGGCCAGTGGCTCGTGGCATCTGTCCACACTGTACCTGGATGGGGAGATGTGGGTGGTCGCCCTCGTTCTTCCTTACCTAGCCTTGTCCTGGGCGGGACCCAGTGTGGCTCTGCCTTCTCCTCTCCAAGAGGGAAGACTGGCCTGAGTGCTTTCCCGCAGCCGGTGAAGCTGTGTGCTTCTGAGTGTGCTCTAAAGCGTTGGTGTGAAAAAGCGCACCATTCCTACACTCATCCTTTCTTACATGGGCTACAGACATAGGGCAGATTCTACGTGAGGCGTGATACCACCTGTGCCCGTGCTTTCGTTTGCTGGCCTTTCTGTTTCAGCTGGGACTTGGAAAGGACTTTAGACCCACCACCTGCTCACTCTCGGAATGTCTGCTGGCATCTGCAGGCGTCATGGTTACAGTCGGACACTCGTGTCAGGAGGACCTTCATGCTCTGTCCAGAGTCTTCATGTGTGAGCGCGGCACAGCCACACGGAAGTGCTGCTGAGTTCTGGTTTCCTTTCATCAGAGGTCTCTAGGACTAAAAAAACTATTAACATGTTAAACATTTTTAAATTTAATTTAATTTAATTTTATTTTTGGGCAATAGGGTACATATGCTTGCTCGCGAGAGATAGACAGAGAGAGGGAAAGTGAGGAAACATGCCCCAGTGGGGACAGCCACACCACAGTCCTTTCTCCTCTATTCTCCTC